CCAAGAGGCGCCCAAAATGGCCCAATACGGCCCCAAAAAAGGGCCCCAAAGAAGGAACACGAATCGAACATCCGAGCCTTCCGTCCCAAGAGGACCGCATGAGGCCCCAAGAGGCCCCCTGAAGGCCCCAAGAGGCCAAGCTGCCTCCAAGAGGCCACCCAGAAGCCTCCCACGAGATCCCAACGAACATCCAATAGGCTTCATCCCGACAGCCCAGGCACGGTGGCGTGGTGGGCCGAAGGTCATTCGATAATTCGGGGCGCCCATCCTCGATCCGAACGGCCCCCCCAGAGATCTATTTCCGAGCTTCTTTCGTTTTCTGAGCGGCCGGCTAGGTGTCAGAGTCGGAGTATATATAATATGATATACATAGATGTGTACTAGAACCATCGCGCGCGCTTCGCGCGCGCTCAGGTTCTAGCCCAGGCTTGGGGCGCGCTAGAAGATCTTGGACAGCGCTATCAAGCACAGGCGCGTGACATAGTCGTGCCTCCTGAGGGCCTCTTGGGAACCTCTTGGGTCTTCGTGGGGGCATCTGAAAGGCTTCTGCGGGGTTCTCCATGCTTCCTCAATTGGCTGTTGGAGGCACCTCTTGGGTGCTTCTCAGGGGGCATCTTGGGGCTTCTTGGGGTCACTTGGGGGCATCGTCAGGGTTCTCAGGGCAGTTGGAAAGTGATGTTCTGCAGTCTGAAGCACTCAATTGGCCGTCTTGGCTGCGTGGAGGCCCGGCTTGAGGCCACATTGGGGCAATCCAGAAGCCTCCCAGGGCCTCCTTGAAGCAATTTTGATGCATCGAGAGCACTGTTCGGCTATCTTGGGGCCCCGTGTACGTCTCCTGTGAGCCTTTGGGGGCCTGGTGGGGGGCTTTGGGGGGCCTCGTCGGACCGCTTTGGGACTCTTGGGGCCTCCTGTGGGCCTCTTAGGGCGGAAAGCTCTGCTGTTGGGTTCGCGTTCCCCTTCTTGGGGCTCTCTTGGGGCCCTCTTGTGGTCCTCTCGGGCCGTCTTGGGCGCCTCGGGCACCGTCTTGGGGCCCTCGTGGGCCGTCTTGGGGCCATCTTGGAGACCTCTTCGGCTATCGTGGAGCGGCCGTGGGGGCCACTTGGGCCGTCTTGGAGCGTCGGGATGCCAAAAGGCTGGGAACTCTAAAATCCAGCAAAAGCCGATGGGAAAGCAATGCTTCTTGGAACCTCTTCTGGGGAGCTTCTTGAGGGCCTCTTGGGTCCCCTTTGGGGGCCTCTGGGGCTTCCTGAGAGCCTCTCGGGGTGGAAGACTCGGATTTTGGCTTCGTCTTACCCCTCTTGGACCCCCCTTGGGGCCGTATTGGTGCCCTCTCAGGCTGGCTTGGGCCCTGTTGGAGGCCTCTTGGGCTATCTTGGATTGGTCTTGGAGGCCTTTTGGGCCGTCTTGGAGCGTCAGGACGCCAAAGGCTGAAAACTCGGACATCAATCAAAAACCTATGGCAAGACATGGATTTTTGCCTTTGGGGGCCTTCGTGGGAGGCCTCTTGGAAACTCTTCGGCCCCCTGGGGGCCTTCTTGGGGCCTCTTGGGGCATGTTAGGGGCTTCTCGGGGCCTCCTGAGAGCCTCTCGGGGTGAAGACTCGGATTTTCGGTTCGCGTCAACCCTCTTGGCTCCATCTTGGGGCCGTCTTGGGGCCCTCTCGGGCCGCCTTGGGCGCCTCTGCCGCCGTCTTGCGACCCCCGTGGGCTGTCTTGTGACCGTCTTCGAGGCCTCTGGGGATGCCTTGGAGCATAAATTAAAGTCTCTTGGGCCATCGTGGAGCGTCAGGAAACTAAAAAGGCGAGAACTCGAAAATCGATCAAAAACCAAAGGAAAACAAATTAGTTATGACTCCTGGGGCTCCTTGGGAGCCATCTTGGAGACCTCTTGGGGCGTCTTGGAGGCCTCTTGGACAATCACGGACCAATTCTGGGGTGATCTCGGGCGGTCATTGGTCGTTTTCGTTGTCTGCAAACGCCAGGGCCGTCTTCGGACGACTTTACAAGGCCCCCAGCGCCACGGCAGGGCCCCTGGGCCCCCCGGTGCGAGAGCCCCGTCCCGGGCCCCGCCTCGTGCCCGCGGCAGGGCGTCACTGGGCCGTCTCGGCGCCCTCGTGGGGGTCTGTTGGGGCGACATTGGGTGTCTGAAATCCATCAAAAATCTAAGGACAATCCATGATTTTGGCGTCCCTTTGGGCCGTGTTGGAAGCCTTGTGGGCCGTCCGGAGGCCATCTTGGGCGCGTTCAAACGATGGCCTCTTGGGCGCCTCTTGCGGCTCTTTTCGTCTGTGTTGGAGCTTTCTTGGGCCGTCTAGGGGCGGCCCTGGGCTGTCTCGGCGCCCTCTTGGAAGCCTGTTTGGAAGATTTCTGGGTGTCCTGGACCGTCCTCCTTCAACGTCGGCGGCACTGGCCGAAAGACTTCCTGGGAACATGATTTGTTGGGGTGTCGTTGGGCGCCTCCGGAGGCTTCGGGGCCTGACGCGTTTCCGAGCGTGTCGGCAGGTAGCGCTGCTTGGGACTCTCGTTTTTTTATCCTGGCAGGCGTTTATAAACATGGTTGGGGAGAGGGCGGCAACCCGAGAATCATGTTCCCAGGAAGCTTTCCGGGAGCATGATGTGTTCGGCTCTCTTAAGAGGGGTGGGCTCTGGGGGCTTACCGAGGGGCCCTTTTTGGCCTTGTCGGCAAGCCTATTGGAAACATAGTTGTGGCGGTGAGCGGAAGCCCAAGGAATCATGTTCCCGGAGAGCTCTGCAGAAAATACGATTTACCGAGGTCTCTTGGGGGCCCGCAGGGGGCTTCCATGGGGGGCCCTTGGGGGCTTATTGGGGCTTCCGGGGTCCTCTTGGGAGCCTCACGGGGCTTCTTGGGAGCCCCTTGATGGCCTCCGGGGGCGTCCTAGGAGCCTCACAGGCCGGAGACCTTGAAATGTCGTGCTCTTCAGGCCCTCTTGGGTCGCTCTTGGGGCTCTCTTGGGGCGCTCTCGAGGCCCTCTTGAATTATCTGGGGAGCCTCCTGGGTCGTCTCATGCGAGAGCGCAGAAATGCGGGGCCCTTTGGAGGGGCCTCTGGAGGCGCTCTTGGGGCGTTTTGGCGGCGTCGTCGGCCGTCCTGAGGCCATCTTCGGCGTGTCCGGGGCCTCTTGGGGCTGTCTTGGCAGTATTCAGGGCCCTCTTGGCGTGTCGTGGCGTGTTTGGGAGCGGGCCCGGGCAGTCCCGGGAGCCCTAGGGGCTGTTGAATGCTAGTTGTCTTGGAGGCGGAGGCTGTTGAGTGCAGGGTGGCGCGTGCTACGCGGAAGGCGGGCGAGCGGCTGGGCGGGCGGCGGGCGGGCGGGTGGCGGGCGGCCGGCGGGCGTGAATTCCTTAAGGGTGCTCTCTTGCAGCGGGAGCTTGTTGAGTACAGGGTGTTGCCTTGAAGACGGGGGCTGTTGACTACAGGGTGTTGTCTTGGAGACTGAGGCTGTTGAGTACAGAGTGGTGCGTGCTACGCGGACGGCGGGCGGGCGGCGGGTGCCCTAGGTGGTGGGTCAGAGGCAACATGGGTGTTGGTTTGGATCTCGTGGTTGGCCTGTCGGGGACGTCGTGAAAGCAGTTTCGCAGCTTCTCGGTAGCAATTTTGAAACCGTTGTGGGACCTCCTCGGGGCTGTTTTGCGGCCTCTTGAGGCCTTGTTTGGGTCTCCTGGGTGCCTCTCGGGGGCCCCCTGGGGCCTCTGGGGGTCTCCTTGGGGCCTCCTGGGGCACTCTTCAAGCGGGAGGGTCGAATTTTGGAGTCGTGGTCTGCCTCTTGGGCGCATTTTGGGGCTCTCTGGGGCGCCTCTGGGGCCGTCTGGGGGCCCTCTTGGGCCGTCTTGGGGCGCTCTTGGGGGCCTATGGAGCCGGCCTGGAACGTCGGACAGCCGACAAGGCAAGAAGGCCAAAATCTGTCCAAAACCTCAGTAAAATTCACGATTTGGGTCTCTTGAAGCGCGCGGGAAAGGCGTCTTGAAGCGTCGTGGAGTGCCTTGGAGGGGTTTCTCGGGCCGTCTTGGGCCTATCTTGGGCGTCCAGGAGCGGTCTTTCGGCGACTCGGGGCCCGCTTGGGCCGTCTGGGGAGCCTGTGGAGGCCCTCCTGGACTATTTTGGACCTCCCTGGCCGACCCGTCCTAACATGGGGGGTCGGGGCAGCTGTTTGTAGGTCCTGGGCCAGCCACCGAGGATCTCTCTCTTTCTCTACATATATATATATATATATATATATATATATATATATACATATGTATGTATACATACATACATACATACATACATACATACATGCATACATACATACATACATACATACATACATACATACATAAATACATACATACATACATACATACATACATACATACATACATACATACATACATACATACATACACATACATACACACATACATACATGCATACATACATACATACGCGCGTGCGTGTACCTATATAGAATAAGGTTGGGAGAAGGAGATGGGAAAGGCGGAGGGGAGGAGAGATCCGGGAGGGTGATGCGGAAAGGGCAGGACGAAGGAAGGAGCCGGAACGACAGTTCCCGGGGAGACGTGCGGGGAGGAGGGGCGAGCTGCACGGACAGTCAGAGCTGCGCGGGCAGCTCCTCTCGTCGTTGTAGCCCCAGGGGCGGATGCGCGTCTTGAGCAGGGCCCACCAGCAGCACCTGCGCGCCGGGCTTTGGGCAGCAGAGGACGGGAGGGCCGGACGTGCTGGGTTCACACTCCCACGCGGCGTGGGGGGCTGGAGGCCTGGCAAAGGGGGCACCAACTCCAGCACGGGGGGGGCTGTCTCCACCGTGGGAAGATTGCATCTTGCGGCCACCCTGGAATCCCGACCCTTACCACCGTCACCGAGATCGGGAGCATCTACCCTCGGTGGAAGCACGCCGCCGATGTCGGTGACGGTGTCAAACTCCAGGCCTCCGAGAGAAGCCTGGAGCGGCGCAGAAGTGGCCACGCGGCGCGGGGCCCTGCGCTAGATGCCGTGTTCCTGATGCAGCGGGCAGCACGCGGTGGGTGGCCCATCGGGTATGGAACCATACCGCCTACGCCACCGCCAGCACCGAGGCTTTTTTTAACCGGAGAACGCCAACTATGCCCAGCTGATTAGTCAAACGCAACAATGCCAACCCATGCCACCAGAATGCGGCCGCCTGTAATGAAGCACGGGGGTTGGTACATTTCTTATAGTTCACAGTGCCAGCACTGAGGCGCAGAGGGGGGACGAGGGCCGAGGGATCCCCACCTCGGCTCGCCGCGAAAAACGAATATCCGAGACGCGCCCAGCCCCTTCTCCATGCAAGTCGACCACTTACAGGAACGCTCTTTGCAAACGAGCACATTGAGATACGCAGCACTCCTGCGCAAGAAGATACCGACAATTGTGCAGTTGGCAGCCTCGCTGGGAGCCGCAAGGTCTCCGCTGGGTGCGCGTGCCCCCCGACTCCGCTGGACCTCCCAGGAGCTCACAAAACTGGCGACGGTTGCGCAGATCGCAGCCTATATAGGAGCACGTCCTACAACGCGATCCCCAAGCTATGTTGGGATATACTTTGAATCAGACTTTGAACTGACGCAAGATTGCAGCACGCCCCAGAGCGCTATCCCGATGCTATGCTTATAATGTACGGTAATCAAGGTTGGGGTTGGTTTGCGACCAGAGCACGCCCCAGAGCACTATCCTTACGTTCAGCTCGATCTTGCTGTGTTGAGGGCACGGATGACGACTCGGGCAAATACCCGTCCAGAATACAAATTTGGCGTCACGCTGAATCGATGAGGTGAGGCCAAGCTGGAGTGCAACCACTTATCGCACGGGTAAACGTATAGATAGAGGGATGGAAGGGTAGAGGGGTCGAGGGGTACGTTCATCATGCGACCACGAGGAACGACAAAAGAAACGAAGGGGCTTTCTCTGGCAACGGCTAACGAGCCTCGGCCACGACCAGGTCTCGGACCTAGATCTAAGGAACGGCCTGAAAACCAGAGCCCCTCCTGAGCCCAAGGCGGCCCCTGATTCAGCGTATCAGCTGCAAGAGGGGCTGAAGCAGACCCGGAGGCAGAGGTGGGGGGCACATGAAGTCCGTTCCCGAAGCGTGAATCCCCAAACACTGGCATCTCTTTCTTCCTTTTTTCCCAACCATCCTGTGGTGTTGGGTCCTCGTTTTGAAGAGACAGCGCGACGCGTCTCACCTCCTGCCGCTGCCCCCTCCCTCCCCCCTCCTCCCCCCTCCTCCCATTACTGCTTCTGCTCGCCGCATGTCCACCATTTCGGCACACCCCTCACGAGGATCGTGGCCCTATAGGGAACTCCACCGAAGGCCCCAGCGGCAGGGTTTGCATGCGTCCCCTCGCCCATTTCGGCACACCCCTCAAGAGGACCGCGGCCCCATAGGGAGCTCCACCGAAGGCCCCAGCGGCAGGGTTTGCATGCGTCGCCCCGCCCATTTCGGCACACCCCTCACGAGGACCGCGGCCCCATAAGGGGGTTCCACCGAGAGCGGTACCCACAACGCGGTACTCACAGCTGCAGATGGCCGGGTCCTTCGCCAGGACCTAATTTCTTTGTTCTACGTCTGGCCTGCTCCCACCGAGCCTCCGCCGGCGAACCCGCCCCCGTGTCACTTCCGCCGACCGCTCGCTGGCCTTCCGCGGCCCCCCGCCGAGGAAGCTGGGACGGCTGCGTGGCGGCGAGTTCGCAGGATCCCCGCCGCCACCGCCGAGCGCTGACAGATCGGAGGGCCTGCCCTGGCGGCCCAGGAGGAGCAGGCGTCGACTTCTCGGACCCCTCGGAGGCAAGGCGGAGCGCGGCGCGCAGAGGCAGAGGGCGAGGAGGCAGAGGCACGGGTCAGGGCGGGAGGCCCGCCCCTGCCGACCAGGCGATCGCGATGAACAGGGCCGTGAAGAAGTGGACCTTCCCCACGAGCAGCTGGGCGAAGACGTCCTCGGGGACGGGGCGCGCCCCGCTGGCCGCCAGAACCGAACCACCGAGAGCGAGGCGGGGGGGAGGGGGAGGAGGAATAAGCGGACGACGGCGACGGGGAGGGCGAGGCGGAGGAGGAGGATGAGGCGGAGGAGGAGGGGGAGGAAGGAGGACGAGGCAGCGGAGGACGGCGCGGGGGAGGCGGAGAAGGAGATCGATGAGGCGGAGGACGGGGCGGGGGAGGAGGACAATGACAAGGTGGGGGAGGGGGACGACGAGGCGACAGGGGAGGGAAAGGAGAAGGACGAGGCAGAGAAGGTGGAGGAGGAAGGAAGGGATGAGTCGGAGAATGGAAGGGGGGTGACGAGGACGAGAAGCAGAAGGATGCGGGAGTGGCAAATGACGAGGAGGAAGAAAGAAAGGAAGCGCGACAGGCGAGCAAGTGGCTGCGTTCCACAGGCCTGGCTGGCATCCATTCCCCTGCTGCTTGCGGCCTGGCATTGCACGTCGCAGCCACCAGCATGAGAAATTGCTGGAAGAACGATCCTTCTGGATATCCGCGACACCCTTAAGTTGGAGTTCGCATGAGTTGGCGGCGGTACTAATTACCACTGCCACGATAACCAATTTGCCCATGCAAGTACTTTCAATACCAAACATTGTCATGCTGTCCCAAGGCTTGCTGGATCATGTTGGACACTACCGCCTCCCAATTACTGGATCAGCATCGCCTTCGAAACGCGTTACGATGCACAGGCGCATGGCTTTCGAGTCGGCATCGAGCGCATGTGACCAGCGCATCGCTTCGTACTTGCATGGTGAAGGAACGGCAAACAAGTTACGAGGTGCACTGGGGCACAATCCACACGACACCACTCCTAAGACGCAAAGGCGCAACACAATTGTATTAACCTGAATAAAAACACGCAGCGTGCTGCACATAGCTTGCACAGCATACATAGGACCACATAGGTTCCCGTTTACCCTCCCCCCGCGGATTAACAGCACCCCCTGAGACAGTGCAAACGGTATCGGTTCCTTCCTGATCCTTCACTGACCATACGAAAACATACCGTCCCAGGCGACTGGTTACTGACCCCTTTTCATCCCCGCCAAAAAAAGTGCGCACACTCGGCTATCTCAAGTGATCCTGCTCCAAGAACTCCTCACACAAATACATCAGCAAAGTCCACACGCGCGCGCGAACATGTTGTGGGTTCTGCCAGCACTTCAAAAGACCAGCTTCTGTCCGCGCGCACTTGCTGCAGTCAGGGGACAACCACATGGCTGTAGAAACATCGCCCAGAAACAACATTCACATTCTAGCACGCTGTGCACCTGCGCTGGCTGATCTAGCATGCGCCGAGCGCGACTCCGCATTGAATACTAGAACGCGGGCCACACGCGCACGACGCCACGCGCGTGTGTCGAAATCCGTCCAAAATCCTGGGTTCTCGAAACATTTCAAGATAGCGCTGTTCACATGCACCTGAAACGGAATCCATGTTTTTCAACACAAAGTTTGCCGGATTTTTGGGATCTCTGCGCGCGCCCTTCCTCATCATCGCTCTCATCAGCGCCATCGAATCACCGCGATTATATATATCGCTAATCGCCGCCATTGCTGCCATCATCCGTCAACCACCTTCACCACTGACACGTCGAAACAATCGTGATCGTCCTCACCAGACTCGCCGTCATAGGCCTTGCCGTCGTCATCGTCATCATCGCCACCACCGTCGCTACGATCATCATCGTTGCCGCAATTGTCGGCGTCATCATGGCATCGCGCCCGCCGAATCACCTGCCCGCACTGAAGTGCCCAGGTGCCAGCGCGGCCTTTGAGTCGCGCTGGGAAATTCCCATCGGCAAGCGCCATCACGACCGCATCATTAGTGCCAAACCTGCTGGCCGCTCTGCGCGCGAGGGTGCGCTCGCCGGCGCGGCCGCAGAGATGCGCCAGCCATCGCCAAGCATTCACTGCAATCGCGGCCGCATGGGTTTTGCAAAGCAAGTTGCGTATCGGAGGATGGGATACTTGCACGAGCAGTGTAGTTGACGATTCGTTCGTGACTTGGTAGTTACCAACCCGTAGATTGCACCCCCCGTATTACGCCCACTTGATGACACCGCATATCTCGCATCCCTTTCATCACTGCATCACGCAGCGCTCGCAAGATAGAGTCGCAGATGCACACATCAGTTTAAATGTTGCATCAGAAAAGTTTCCATCACAATGGATGCACCACAAGCCGTGCATCTCCTACATTGCAACGCATCGGTTGGTCTGCGCAACGCTGGTTGAAGCAAGTACGCTGCACCGTATAATCGCCTAGCACCGCAAAGGTGCCTTATCGACATTGTGTTGGCCGGTTGTCTGGGAGCCACGTTGGCAAACACATGCTGGCTAGACCAGGCAATGCCCGACGCTTCTACGTCATATCACACTTTGCTATGATAGGTCGGACAACGCTATATGACGCAGTGGTATTCAATGCTATGTCACCTCGTGCGGAGAATCGAATATGGCATCCTACGCCAAGCCACGCAATGGTACGTGCTGCATTAGCTGATACTGCGATATACACTGTTACCCTGCGCCGTGCTATGATGTACAAATGCATACTATGCAGTTCTAGGCGATAGCACGCTACCCGTGGCGGTGCAAAGCACTGCTCTGTTACACTATGCTGGGGTAAACTATGTTTTTCTGTTGTGTAAGACTATGCGGTGCCGTGCGCTGTCTGCCTGCCAAAGTGTGCTACGCCATACTGGACCATGCCATACTACGGAGTGTTGTTCAATAATATACGGCGCTGGTGTGTCACGATATGCTAGGCGGTGTTATGCTGACCACCGCTATGATATCCTGTACCATGGTTTGCATCGCATCGCTCCGCATGGCGTGTCACCAGAGTTGCCGTCGAAAACAATATTCCTGTTTCGCCCTGGGATCACATAAACATGTCAAATACACATCAAATGATAGATTCGTCGTCTTTCACACTCCTGATGCGACCTCCCTTCCCCCCCCATCATCCTCCTTGTCCTCTTGG